GGCCTACCCTCAAATTTGAAAAACAAATTTATTAATATGTAGACCATAAAAAATTGTTAATTAACATATATACCTAGGCTTACCTTCAGATTTTTAAAAAATCAGAACTATTGTACATATCATTTTTTAAAAATAAGAACTATTATACATACTGTATATCTAGGTCTATAAAAAAACTTATATATATATATATATATTCCAAGCCCACATCATATTAAAAGTTTAAAACTCTCTCCAGTGTTTTTTTATATGGCTTTACCTGTTTTTTATGATTTTATCCTCAAATTCTTTACTCTCTCTTTCTCTTTCTCATGTTATTCGCTCTTAAAATTTTTGAAGACTGAAATTGTTAAATTTTCAATACTCAAGGTGTCATAATTTGCTCCGTTTTCTATTTTATCGATTTTAGATATGTGTATTTTTCATTTCAATTTAGTTTATTTAAGGATTGAATCATTTTTTTTTTCTTTTTGAGGTTGTTTATTCTAATTTGAGAGAAAAAAATATTAATATTGTGAGTTTATTTTGTATTTTCTATCTAATAATGAATCTGCTTTCTCAAATTAAAACTTTAACTATATTTTAAAGGACATTATTCTTCATCCTTCACCCACCACTTTTCTACATTTTAAACGTCACCGTTCAGTTGTTCAAAATTATTAAAGAAATTTGAGTTACCATTTATGTTTATACTAAAAAAAAATTCCCTCTTTTATTAATTTATATTAAAAGTCAATTTAACGTTAACTTGATTTAAGTTTTTGTTAACTTTAGCTTAATTAGGCTAGATTTGATCAACGCTGTAGAAATTTATATTATAATCTTTGAAAGCCAAAAATAAAAATATTAAAAGAAGGTTTTGTTCAAGGTTTACTCAACATTTTTACTCAAAATTTTGCTTTCATAGATTTATTCAAGTGAGAAAATATTGTGTTATTGTATATTCTTTTTTCTCAGGTTTTTAATATTATATTTTTTTTGTTTTTATTAAGGTTTGGTGATTTTTTAAAGTTTTCACTAGTTATTTGGCAAATGATGGCGGAGCCACGAAGGCCCCTTTTGGACAAAAATCTTGGATCCGCCACTAGTGGTGAGCATATAAGGTTGAGGGGTTTCGTAAAACATACGTATGGGATGTGACAACTAAGACGTCCGGTGTGTTTCCTCTTGGCACATTGGCAATGATTCATAAAACTCTTTAGGGGGGAGGTGCTCTATGAAAGGGGAGCGCGAGAGCTATTCTTCATAGTCGATGATGAAGAAGGAATTAGGCCATCACTACACGAACTAGTTGGGAGTTGGAATCGCTTCCTTGATGAGTCCATGGTAGAACGAAACCAAGTAGACCTCAAGCCAATGAATGACATACGTGTAGGTTTACCCCTTCTCTAGTGAGACGCTGGGGTGTTACGCGGACCGCTTCACTTCGTTGCAACTCTTGGCCTGTGACAATAAGCATTAAATTAATTTTGTGTGGCTAACAACATTAAATTAATGTTACATTATTTTATGGCAGTGTTAGGTTTGCTACAAATATATACGAAATTCAACAAATTTAATTTGATCATTAATCAAATCGTTTTCTCAAATTAACATTTCATGATCAATAAGGGATTTATTTTTACGTTGCATGTCAAATTTTAAAAATATAATCAAACGGAGAACAGAGAAACATAGAAAGGAAGACCGATTATTCATAAGTCTAGCCAAAATATCAATTGAGAACATAATTGATAAATGCAAATTTCAGTTTCATAAACTAAAGCAGAGAAGTATTAAACGGGTAATGCAAAAGTCAAAACTCAACCAACTCCTTAATCCGTTGGCCGTTGAGATTTATTTAAAGTGAAATAAAGCCAAATCTGCTGAACAAAAGCCAACAGTGTGCACTAAATTAAAGCTAGAAGAAGAAGAAGAAGAACGCTTAAAGTTAAACAAATATTATATTATTAATGAAACCATTGGTGGACGAAAACGACTGCCTGCACTAAAGAGTTACTTAATTTGACGGTAACCTAATGTGCCGGGTAATCACACTACATTTCGCTTATTTCAATGAGATATTGTCATTCACAAATTCCACATCACCTTTTCTTTTCACCTCCGTTTCAATCAAATGGGCCACTGCTATTATTTTTTAGATTGGAGAGATCAGGTAAAGTTTATCTTTATCTCCCATCTTTCGGATTTTTGGTTGACATTATTAAGATGTTCATGGACCTTATTCATCACCTACCTTAGCTAAATTCTAATTAAATATGATAACCTTTCCCCAGTCAAACCTGTCAAATTATGCGATTATATTTCTCTTAAATACACTAAAACCACTATTTATTATGTAACTATCTGCTGTGATTAATTGACAAATGATTTATAGAGTAAAGGCTTGTGGATCGAATAGTGGTGATCAATTGAATATTCGTAGTCAGAATTAACTGAAAATCAGCTAAGAATAGAAAACCTTAACTTTATGATGACCGACAATCAACGAAAAATCAGATATCAAAATGATGGAGATTTTGTAAAGAAAAGAGTTGAGGTTTAAATGGTGGTAATGGAGAGAATTTCAACTTTTGATATTAATGAAATATAAACTTTGGGTGAGGAAATGTTATTTTGAAACTTTTTAGGTGAAAAAGTTTCACTAAGGCAAACTTTGGGAGGAAAAAGACGTTTACTTGAACGAAATTTATCTGGAGACTCGTTTAAAATGAAATAAACACCCAAAGGGTCTAGTCTTATCACGCCGGGGAAGAAGATGACATGCAATCTCTTCCAAATCTTTGAAATTTCCATAAACATTAAGTCAATCTTTAGATATCAATCTATCTGCAATCGACATAGTCTAATTATAGTCAAAAGTAAGTTACAAAATTACAGAGGTTAATTTAATTTTAGGTGAATGGCTGCTCGATTTTCAACGACATAATCAATTTTTTTACGTTGGTTGTCTCATATTTTAACAGTGGTCTTTCACCTTATTCAAATTGTATAAACTTATTGAAAGATGTTGGTGTCGTTTTAATACATTAGATGGGGGAAGAAGACAGCCAAAATAGGATGAAAATGAAAAAAGAATACACAACCACCCTTGAAGTCAAGTTCTTTGTATTTATAGATGAATACAATGGAATGAGTTAGACAGCACATGATTTGTGCCTTAGATTTCTATCCTGTTGGTTAAAGCCTAAAGCAGCTAGCAATGTCGCTTTAAATGGCGGGTGGGGGAACTATTATACGAATACAACATAACCTTTTCATCTCTTACATATCAATAATGCTAAAAAGAAAGGAGATTTTCAATACAAAGACACGTTCATAACTTTGCACACTACTTGTCAGAGAATTCGAGATTCAAGAATATGGGGGGCCAGCCATGGCCATGAATTGAATCTGAGAATTAAAAAAAAAAAAAAAAAAAAAATATTGCATTTGCACTCAAATGGCGAACATGCAGTAGAAGACGCGGCCTCTCGATACGGCTGCGGAAAACTGCATCTACATGACCTCTCCTTTTTTAATGCTTTGTGTTTTCGTCCTTGCGTTTCGCTGATAGCTAGTCACTCTCTCACTATTTTGTCAATTATTATTTTTTCCAACCAAACCAAAATTTCTAAACCCAACTAATAAAAGCATATCTAATATGATTAATTTTTTTTTTTAATTGAAGTGTTTGGACTTTATACACACCCAAACTAATATCTTAAAATCCTAAAACTAATAAAAACTTCTATAACTATTCTTATTAACCATAAAGAAAGATTTTAATTCAAAACATCTTAAATAATATATTCAAAAGTTTTTATATAATTAATTAATAGTTATGAATTATTTAAACATTTCAATATTACTGAGTACCGTGACGTACAATTCCTGTGTTTGAAAAATTCACGTCATATAAGGAGTAACGAGAACGTTCATAAATGACTTGGCCGATGAGAGATGACCATTTTTTTTTCCAAGTCTTTTTGTTCTGAAAACAACAATAAAGCTATTTCTTTTATTTTTTCGGGGCAACACTAGATACTATTTAACTCGTCACTTATTGAAAAGCTTCCACTAACAACTGTGCAGCTGAGGATTGGAGAGGGAGACATAATATCATTGATAAATGCCTACTTAACCGCACTGCAGAGTTATATTGAATAACAATACCCCATGTCTAAATCCATCTTACCATCATAACATAATTAACATTGTCTTTCACTATCACCTCTACATCTGTGCACCTTTGGATAGTCTTTATGAAAATGAGATGGAGAATGATCCAACGGTGGAGGACCCGGTTGTCTTGTCCATCGTCAAAAGGGACGTAATTCAACCTTTCTTTGTAAACAGGGTGAAGACTTTTGAGTGCGCATGATGTTGCGAGTTGCGTGTTGCAAGGGTAAAATATTTTAATTATATCATCCCAAGTAAAGTTTGATAACGCGGACGGACGCTGTCAAACTTTACCCCCCCTTTGTCAGAGATATTTATTTACCCCGTCGACGGTGATGGCAACTAGAAACCGCACCGCCTTCTCTCTTCGTTTTGGGTCCAAGTGAAAGACTTTTCAAATATGAAGTAAAATCTTCTGTATTTACCCAGATTGTTGATTAACGATGAAATTAATTCCCCCGTCGACGGTGATGATTGACTAGAAACCGCACCGCCTTCTCTCTTCGTTTTGGTTCCAAGTAAAAGACTTTTCAAATGTTAAATAAAATCTGTATCTACCCAGATTCTCGATTAACGATGAAATTAATAAAAAGAAATAGAAAGAAGAAGGGTACATTCTATTAAAAATATACATTATATTGCATTGATCTGAAAAGGGAACAAGAGCATACGTAGTACTGAAGTTCTTACATTAACAATAATAAGATCAAAGCGAATTGATGATGATGATAATAATAATAATAATAATAATAATAATAGTAATTATTATAACAGCAATAAACAGCAGAAATCAAATAAAATAGGGAATCACCCATGTCCCCAACCTATACAAAAGACGATTTTTTTGGTTGTTCTTCAAATTAGTCTTCTGAACTCCCCAGAAAATTAAACCAAAATGAGATTCTAATCTTCAACCATAGCTTGATAATAATTCCTAATAATATTTACACGATCTTCAATTTGTTGCTTCCAAAATTTTACTCCATCGTTTTATTCCTCTCCTTCTTCTCCTTCAGATACTATTCACATCGAGAGGAAACAAAAAAGCCCATGAAATAAAAACCCAAAAAATCGATTCAGGAAAAAAAGCATGATCAAACCTTTCCAACCACGCCAGCCACTTCTCACAGGCTCAGTTCGCACCGTTCAACAAATCCGAAACCCAATCAACATCCGGAGCCCCATTAAACTGAGACGGGTCGCCCCGCTCCAGAGAATTCTCTTTGCTTAATTTCTCAAACATTCTTGCACGTAAATCCCTCCCTGACTCAACCCTTTCCATTACAGGCTCTTCCTCACTAATATTTTCAAACGGATCCAAGTAACGCATACCGGGGCGGGTCGGAGTGCCAGTTGGTGTTGAGGGAAGGCTAAAAAACCCGGGTCGGAGCATTGACCCACGTGGAGATCCGTACCCGGGAGAGCCACCCATATGAATATTCCATGAAGATGGCAAAGACTTCACCTTCCCCAACTGCAGATTCCTTAGAGAAGCCACCATCTCGCTGATTGAACTCGAACCTAGTGACCGACTCATAGATTGACTCATGGGCGACTCAGCAGTTGGACTCACAGGAGGAGAAATCGACTCTGGAGAAGACAAAAACGGCAGCGTCTTAGCACAGGAAGAAGTATCAACACTTCTCGGGCTCTGACGAGGTAAGATTCTAAGCTGCTCCGGTGTGTGGGCGAAGAAACACACCCGTCTCCTACAACCAGGTCCGTCCTTGCAAGGCTGAGTACGGTAACGGGCCGGATGGAGCCAGCACTCGAACACGCCATGAGCGAACTCACAAGAGTCGCCTTTCTTACAGCTTCCCTTACGGAACTCGGGGCATGCCGTACCCGAATAGTGATACTTTCTCGGGTCACGCCTACGTGCCTTCTCCCCTGGATGAGCGTACGGACATTCCGTCCAGTCATGAGACCTGCCACGTGCACACTTCCTTACCTTGAACTCGAACATGCGAAAATGGTCGCATGAGTAAGCGTCGACGGGAGAGTCGGAATCCAGACCCGAAATATCAGTATCCGAATCGAAATCCTGATCATTAGATGGCATATATGGTTGGAGAGCCGCTAAGGCTTCTTGGAGATAGTATGGGCAGTTAACATCAGGGCTGCCGTTTGCATTGCCGTTAAAGGAGTGAGGAGATATAATATCAGCCGTTGGATCTTCGTGGAGTGGAGGCCACGGAGGGACGTGGACCGTCGGATTCGGACGATGGCGCTCGCCGAGCATCATTTTCAGTTTGTTGCTTGGTTGTGGATGCCGTTGTTTCAGGGAACACTCTCAGGCTTTGCTTCTGTTTATAAACTGCCAAGTAGGGGAGTTTAACTATGGTTTAGTTAATTTTTAACCATGGTTATGCATTTATCTAGGAGCAGCCTTTTGTACTGCAGTTAAAAACTTGAATTATTGGGAAACGTTTGTTTTACAGGGCTGTTATGTAAGGGGCTAAGAAGGTTTGATTAGAATAATCCACATTGTTGTGGAGGAGAATTATCTCGCCGCGTGGCAGATAGTCATCTTAAGTTAACAAAACTATGACACTGCCTGTCATTCTTTAATTATCGGGTTGGAATATTTATTCTGGATACGCCCGTAGTGTTCCAAAGTCGGTGGAAAATAAGATGCGTAGGATAAAGATGAAAACAATGAGTTCAAAAAGACAAATTCTTTCTTTATTTCTGGCCAAAAAAGAAATTCGATCATTTAGGCAATTTTGTAAGTCTTTTATTGACATTTCATATTTGTAATTAATTATGTCCATTGTGACAAAAACGTATACCTTGTAACATTTGTTAAAGAACCTCTTTAACATCTAAAGTTTAAACATGTAATTATTTTATTTAATCACTCTTTCAACCATTTATGTTTATACTTGTAATTGTAAATAAAAATGATTTGGTGAGACATGTATCACATCTCCTAGTGGAACCCTTTGATATTATCTTATATCAAACTATTTTATTATTATAATGTTTCTGACGAATATATATGTAGTGGACAATATTTAAAGTAGATTTAACATTGTGATTATAAACAATTTTATGTATTTTTGGAAATTAAAAGATTCTTGGAAATCACTTTTAGAAATATATGATAACTTATTTGTATAAATTATCTTTAGATTATTGAGTAGTTCGATAGAGACTCTTTGATATATTATTCAAAAGATCTTGAGTTTGATATTTTCTGATTGTTAATAGGAGTAGTCACTAAAGATCTTACAGGATCCCGAAGAATTAGTTGAAGTACACGTAAACTAATCCGAACATCCCACTCATAAAAAATAAAAATAAATAAATAATTTATGTATATTAGTTTGTTGGATATGTTCATTATACTAAAAGGAATAATTTCATTTTCATTATTTATAAATTTCCAATAGATTATTCTTAGGTCACATCTAATTTCCTTTCATTTTACAACTCGATAATAAGTTTTGTCTTTTCCATTGTCTCACCATGTGTGCCAAATTATGCTTTCACTAACAGGGTGTGTAAAAAATAAAATGATATCTGATACTGTTGTCTAGATATAGTTGATGATTATGATGTAGAAATATTCTTTGCCCGATCAATAGACAGAATAATTTAGAAAACTTGTAAAATAATTCATGCCCTTTTAAAGCTGAATTGTGGTTTATGAAGAAACCTCATACTCAATAGTATTAATTACCTCTTTCTTAATTTGTTAAATTTTTACTCTAATCATAAATTCGTTTTCAGTGTAATTAACGGTGCAAATATGGTGGATGAGATCAGGACCCACCTAATAAATGCCGTTAATTCTCTAATTACCTTGACACTGCTACATTTTTTGATTCTCCCAGAGGGTGGTATCACGGAATTTAGTTTTATTGGCCATCTTCTAGGGATCAGTTCCTCTAATATCTTATAACAAGAAAAATAGACCGATAAGCCTTCTCATTAACTATTTTCCACCAAAAATTGGTTAGCTTATAATTGGTTATATGGGATTGTTGAGTAGAAAAAATCTATTATAAATTAATTAATTAATTATGAATTGTTACGTGAAAGGAAGTTAATAAGAACCATTTATCAGTGTAGTATTATTCACATCTTATTTTCACGACAACTTCAGATATTATTCAATTTGTTACTGTATATTAAGGATAAATATCTTGGTGTATAAAAAAACTCCCATAAAGTACTATTAAACCCTCTAAAATATAGCAATAAGCCCTCTGAAGTATACAAAATCTCAATAAATATATATAAAAAAACTTAACTTGTTAAAACTTTAACATATCTAAATGACTAAATAAAGTATATTTATTTATAAAATGACACATATATTATTAGAACCTTTATATACAATTAAATCTCAATAAATTGATATTTTTTGGACCATGAAAATTTATTGATTAATCAATATATTTTTTAGTCATACAAATTAATAAATTATAAATTTATTGAGACATTTCTGATTTTCTTTTTCCAAAACATCAAACTTCATGCATGTAATGTCATTGCTACATTATACAGTGGCTTCTCATCTCAAAGATGTAAAGAAATCAATAATCAAACCTTTGGAACTTAATGCAACAATCACATCGCATAATTTTCTCTTGCAACACGAGAACACTAGGCAGAGCTTCTTAATGCACTAAGAAACATTAGAGATGAGGTTCAAGAAAACATCAATTTCAATAGGAAACAAGTAATATTACAGTTATATTTTACAAAAAGTCTCGTAATTGAGTTATATATATATATTGTTATTGTTATTGTTATTGTTATTGTTATTATTAATTTACCACATCGGTCCCAAGTTGGGATCGGCAAAAAATATTATTTAATTAAGGTTATTAATTTATCGAGTATAAGTTCATCAAGGTTTAACTATATGTATATATTTTTATTTACCTCCATTTAACATATTAATCAAGCATATAAGTAGTTTTGCATGTTGGTATCACATGTGTTTTCTTGAAAAGAAAAAAATAACAAAGTTAAAAATTTTGTAAATGCACAAATCAATTGAAGGTTATAAACTATAAAATATGATAAAATAAAAAGTTGACGATTTTTTCCCATCCAAATAATGACTTCATGACACTTTCCCACTTACAGAATACCGTTTTACTACCCAAATTTATATTCTGGCAGTGAACAGAGAGTAAATTCGGTCCAGGATATTGAGGTTTTTGAAGAGAGGAGGTCATTGAGTCTTTTGGTGGTGAAATGTTGGATTTTGGTGATTGAGATTGATCAAAATTTTACTTGAGATGGGGTAGCTGCGCAAACCCTAATCGCTCAATTGTTGACGATTGGTGGGTTTGGCAAGAGTAAGGCTTTAGGGGTTTTGGTGAGCGATGATCGAAGAAGATAATGGTGGTGGTATGATGTCGTAACGATACTAGAATCGGAAACGAAATATAAATTTGCATAATAAAGTAGTAATTTAAAAGTAAGTGGACGAGAAAGAGTCATTAAATCATTATTTGAGTGGAAAAAAATCATTTACTCTAAAATAAACCTAAAAAATTTTAATGCATATTTGTTTTTGATCAACCTTATTTCATCTTAATCATTTCAAAATAAAATTAGCTTTTATGATGTAAAAAAATGAAATAAAATTTTAAAATAATAGCAAAAGATTTATTCTAAATAGATTGTATATAATTTTTTTTTTTGAGTCTTATTTGTCATAAAGAAAAAAAATAATAATAATGATTTGGCTCAATTAAGATGAAGGTGAGGAGCCAATAACATCGTTCTTTAAACTATTATGTTAAAGTCGGTGAAATACTTACACATATTCTACCGCATTCATTGATATTTAATACGAACAATATTATGCTTCTCAAGTTCATTGCCGACTAACAACAGAGCAAAGGTGTTAATTTTATTTTCTTACTATTTACTGTTAAAACGTTGATTCAAACGTTGTATTGGAATATAATGTGATGTAATGAACAATATTTAATCGGATAAGAATAGTTTTAATTAATTAATTCGACAGGTTGAACAAATCAAATGCTAAAAGTTAGCCACCCACTAGTAATAGTGCAGGGCTCATGGTAGACAAAAACCATTACAACAGGCCACACAGGGTCAATAGACACATGAAATGAATCTCATAATAAGGATTAAGTAGCTGCATCACACATATTGCAATTAAAATAACAACATTGAGAAAATGAAAATCAAAGCATAAAATGAAGAAAAAAAACAAAAAAAATCAACCACCCTTGAGTTGTTTGATGATAAAAAAGTAAATGAACATCTAACATAATTTTCTCAAAAGAATAATTTAATATTATTTTTTAAATTTAAATTATTTTAAAAATAAAAAGAGAATTTAACAAGATCTCTTGAATTTAAGTTTTTTATCCTTATTAATAAGGATAGCTTTAAAACTCGTATGGTATATTGTATTTATAGTTTCAATGTTTTAAAAAGATTAATTGAGATGTATCTCATTAAAAAAATATATATATATTATTAAAAAAGTGTTATAATTATAATTAGGTATGGTATGGGATAAAATATATAAAGGTACACGTGTACGTAAATATAAGGGATAGGAAGGGAGAAGGCATGTGCAAGAGATGACTGCAATTCAGGACAAGCATCAAAATCTCTGCCAACTTTATCAGAAAAAATCTTCTGAAAAAGGAAAATAGATAACAACTGATGGAGGAGGTTTGCTCCAAACACCTGGCTGTCTGGGCTCGACACTGACCTAACTTTGCAGTCATTTGCCCCTTCCGTTGCGGCACGTTACATCCATTTTAACTCCGTCTCTAATCCTAACAGTACACCCGCTTTGCCATGGTTTATCCGCTGCTTCCTGCGCATTCTAGAACCCTAGCGACCATCGACTGCTGTGCGTAAATATTCTCGCATTTATGACCCCAAATGGTTGGTGTAATTGGTTGCCTCTTTAAGATCTCACTTACTCAAATATTTATTTATTAAAACAATTATTTGATAAATTAAATTCAATTATTTCATAATCATCTAAGTTAGAGCATGAATATTTCTTCCAAAACTCATAACTGAGTATGGTTTTCAAGTTTTCAACTATTCTCAATCGTGATTAACTATGTTTTCTTTCTTAATATAATCTAATCAGTAAGCAGCTTTTAATAGTTTAACAACGTTTTCTTACTCTAAAACTTTTAAAATATTACTTTCTCACTTAAAAAATACATTTAATGACAATGTGTTGTCGACCACACCAATCTTCAGTTGATTCCAATATCATTGCGATCACACACCATTATCATCATTTTTCACGATTATCACTCATCAAAAC